GTAATCCTTGGACTACCGAAGGCTTCTGAATAGATTAACAAGATTAAGGAGCTAGCGGAAGCAAATACATAAATATAGTTGTCCAATGAGTTGTGCTGACTTATATGAAACAGAATGTTTAAAAAAAAACTTTATATACATAATCAAAAGTCATTCATACATTATACCCACACACATAATAGTATCTTAAGTCCAGCTAACAGAATTAAATTAAGTCATACATATACACAGAACCAACAGAACTTGAACATAGGACACTTCGGGAACCTCCACGTGAGGCACAATGGTTGGCTGACAACAAAACACAGATTCAAACAAAAACCTTCAGGCTCGGGCTCCAGAATACTCACCTATACATATATATACACACAATGAGCTAAAGCCCAATGAATAACAACAGAGTAAAGGATTTAATGAATGATGTCCATCACAGAGTTAGAAACCAAGTTCTTATCAGAAACAGATTCATATACATATTCAGATTTTCCATACAATCAAACGTGGTACATCCCTTAGCGTTAACAAATCCGATGGTCCATGAAGGGACAGCCTTGAAGGCATTCTGATGACTCATGTGCACAGAGACGTTTCTGATGACCCATAAAGGGACCTGATGACCCATGAAGGGACGCATATAATATGATGCTAAGGATGCCACGAATAACTTTCAAAATCTTGGACAATCATTCATTCATTCAAAACATAGCGTAGCATTTCAGAAAACTAATCATTTCATGTCATAATGTTCAGAAAATATTTAACATTGAACATAACTTTACAAAGTTATTACTCACAGATGATTGGTAGCCCTAACTAGATGGTGAGGTGACCCTTCACTTGTTTTGAGGCGCGTGACCTATATGAACACACATACGAACACACACTTGAAACACACGTTCGAATTGTACATAACTTATGTCGTTTGCTGTTAGTGTGTTTCTAACCCTTAATCCTCATTATGGAGTCTTAAACATGGCTTAGAAATGCCTAAGATGGAATGAGGATGCAAAAATGCGTTGGAAAACATTTCTCAAGATTTGCTGAAAATAAGGTCCACGCTCGAGCGTGGCTTTCCTCGCTTGAGCGGACATGCAGACAATGAAGCTTCGCTCGAGCGTGAACTTCCTCGCTCGAGCGTACTGTAAACTCATGAAAAAGTGCTAGATGCATGATTTTCACGCTCGACAGGCGCTCGACCAACGCTCGAGCGTGAGACTCAGACCCTCGCTCGAGTGTGAATTCCCACGCTCGAGCGGACTGCAAAACACAAGAACTTCTGGGTGTATGCATTTCACGCTCGAGCATAACCATCGTCGCTCGAGCGGAGTGCACGTACTCAGATTGGTCGCTCGAGCGTGAACTCCCACGCTCGAGCGTAGATGCAATTTATGAAATTTTCAGATTTGATCACTAAGCTCAAAACTCGAATTTAACCTTCCAAAACACATCTCTTGGGCCCCAAAACTTGAGATTACATAGTAAACTTGTAAAACATGAAGAATTTAGGATCATTTCATAAAATCATGGCCCAAGGGTTTGCCAAAAGTTCCCAATTTCAACTTAAACTTTAAGAATGTTTATGAATACAACATGCATGAATTTTTTTTGTATCAAACTTCTCAAAACATGATCAAACACCACAAAACAACTTGAAACTTGATGATTTTCCCAAATAAAGATGAATTTCAAACATGCAAGAGAGGATTCATGGAAATCATGCTCAATTTGTAAGAAAATGTACATGCATGCATGAATTGCAACTCAAATCTTTATTCTAAGCTCAAAATATACATCAAACTCATAATCTTGAAGAAATTTCATGTTAAATGACTTAGTTACACAATCTAGAGGTTGTAATCTCACCTAGAGTCTTGAATTACACTTGTTCTAGCACAATCTTTGATCAATTCAACACAAAACCTTCAATCTCTTCCTTCCTCTCTCTCTAAAATGTATTCTCAGATTTTAGCACTAAGGGAAATGAAGAAGATGAGCTCAAAATGAGCTTATAGGGTCAAACATAAACTTATGGTGCTAAAATACCATAATTAGAATATTAGGCTAACCAAACATGACTTAATTAATCAGACTGAATCAATTTTTAATAAATCATGTCATAAGGTTCTAAAAATTCTAAATAACATATTGGTGGAGTTAATTTCGGTTTTGGATGCTGATATGGCTTTCAATTTACATATTAAAGCGGAATTCTAGACAGATATTTCTACAAGTAACAGATAGTAAGCCAAATATCATGCAATTTACATATTAATCCCATAATTCATTTGATCCACTCAATTAGCATCTTTAATCACTGATTAGTAGCTAATTACGGGTCGGGGTTATTACAATGACTTGCAACAGAAAGAGAAGATTCCGGCGGTGATTCGTCCACCCGGGGCACTCTGACGATCAAGTCAATTATTCCAAAGATAATCAATAGTGCTTAACTCACTATTCAGAATATAAATTACATACCTTAGACCCATGGGGGTGCCTCTCTTTTATAGTCGATACAGACCTAGTCCCAATAGAAGTCTAGCTTCAATGGACTTCAGCTTACTGCTAATCTTGGACTTTTCCATAGATAAATATAAACTTTTTAAGAGTCTTATCTTTACCCAAACTGAAGTTCTCTCTCATTCTGGGACTCTTGTCCCTTATCCGCTTATCCTGAATTCCAATATCTTCGGAGATAACCTCGGCTTAGAGGAGATCACCTCGGCATCACAACCAAGACACGTGACACCTCGGCTGATACGTCGGCGTCACCTTAGTCGCGTGTTGGTACTCAAAAAATATATCCCCACAACTGCCCCCTAGGTTCTATTACCTCGGCATTTTGAGGTGATGGAACCTATATCATTCCTTCCTGTTGGCCATTGGTACTTAGAAAATATATCCCCACAGAATATATATATATATATATACTAGTGGTGTGTTTACTATGTGCGGTTAAATTTGAAAAATATCAACATTTATTTTTTTATTTAAAAGCACACATATTGTGTGCCGTTGATAAGACTCGCTTCTACCAAATGAAGATCTTGATTTTGAGTCCTAATTTTTAGAACAACAATGATTCATCCCACTAAAAACATCACCACTAATAGCACTAATGCATTAAAAAAGTAAAAAAAATAAAATAAAAATATAACTCCAAGACCAAAACATCACATCATTACTGACGGGACCCACTGCCACCTAATTAGTGGGAGCACTAATTAGTGCTCCCAAGCATTATTCTTTTTAGAAATACCAGAAGATGAACTTTCTAATAACTTTCGTCACTTTTTTATTCATAAGCCTCAATCATTGAGATAATGAAGTAACAGTTGCAATGTGCTATGCCCACTGTGAATATTGATTTTCGATCTTATAACTAAATAGAGAATTTAGTTGGAGATTACGTGACCGAATAGATTAAACTAAATTTCTGCTAATAAGAAGATAAGAATATTACGGTAGCTCCTCTACTCAGGAATATTCCGACGATCAAATCAGTCAATTTATATCAAACAAATGACACAACTTAGACTTACGGAGCTGCTTCACTTTTATAGCCAATAGTGCCCTCGTTAGTCTCACTTATCTCATACTCTTAGTTAGATATATATGAACCTTTCAAGAGTCTCATCTCTATCCGAACTAAGTGCTTTGTCTTATCTAAGACTCTTGTTCTCTATCAAAATATATCGGATTCTGGTATTACCACATCAGATCTAGGCAATACCACAATGGTAATCTGACTTGTCCACATGATACCTCAGTAGCACCTTAGCCACGTGAGACAACCCTAAAAATACATCCCCACACATACGATTGTCTAACTACCAAACTTTATAATTAAAAATGAAGAAAGAGAAAGTTGCATACGGCTAGCTTATTGAGTTTTTTTTTTTTAAAAATGCTATGACATGAATTGAGATTTAGATGTAACTGTAATGGCTCATGTGCAAAATTGTTGGTTAAGGACTCATAATGTGGTTCCCAAAACAGCCTGAGCTGCTATGGATCTGTTACGTTCCCATTTTCAATTTTTACATGTTACTCAAACGCAAAGGAAAAATAAAAGGACACTTTAAAATTTCCTCTTTTAAGTTTTACTCATGTTGTCTTATTTTTTCCTTTTCAATTTCTATGTCTTACAATTTATTCAATTTATTGCAAACGAATAATTTTCATTAAAAAAAAAAAACACATAGATTAATCATGACCTACCATGATGGAAAGAAGTTGGGTGTGTCATTTGTAATGTATACATAAATCTGATAATAAATTTTAGGATGATGCTACTTAAATCAAAAATTAAATTTAATTTTCAAACTCAATAATGTGAAGTCTATTAAAATATTTAAGATAACTCTTTCTTTCACGTCTTCTCTAAATATTAACCAATCATTACATTTACACATCATTAAGTCCAAAAAATTGAGTTGTATATTATTTTTCTAAATTTTATTTAGAATCGTATAGTAATTTTATATTTTATCATCTTAAAATTAAAAGTTCATCAAAATAAGTTACATTTTTAAGAATCTTATCATCATCTTATTGGGGTGACAAATTCTATATAAAATTTCTAAATCATTACTATTTAACATAAAAAATTTGACTCAATTTTTAAACATAATGATGTAACAATCAATTAGTATATTAAAAATAATATTCTCTCTTATATTTTTTCTAATCATCAACCAATCATATTACTTATATATTATTTGATCTGAAAAATGAACTTAGAATGTAGATTTTTATATCATTTTTCTTATTTAAACATTATTTGGTTGGTTTTTTTTTTTGAACAGTATTCGGTGGGGGTTTGTTGTTACCACGTTTTTGTGGTTAGGAGGGCAATGGTTGTAATTACGTGGGAAACTAGAACGGATTACCCCAACTGAATAACGGAACCTCCGGGACGCCAATCTGTATTCTGTCCCACAAACGTATGCACTACTATACTAACTGAACATCTTATATATATATATATATATAGAGAGAGAGAGAGAGAGAGAGAGAGAGTATACGTGTTTTAGAGGGGAGATAATGAAATACCGAACCAGATAATGTTGAATTAAAACTAATCCAAATCTCAAACCTAATCCAGATTCAAACTTAGTCCAACATTTTTTTTTGCATAAGTTCACTGATATTCACTACTACACAAACACTGCTCTCTCTCTAATCGTCTCTTCACCCCAAAAATTCGCCTCTTCTCTCTCTCTCTGCACGCAAAGTTTCGAAGATGGCAGCAGTGAACGCTGCCCGTACTGTCATTGGCGTTATTGGTATCTTCTTCAAACCTCTCTCTCTCTCTCTCTGCTATATATGTATATATAGATACGTACATGCAATTACTGGTACATTAATAATATATAAGTTTGTGATCTGTTATGAATTGATCTTCATATGTTTTTTATTTGAATTGATCAATGCAGGAGTAAGAACTAAGACTGTTTGTGTTGAGGAGGTAGAGTTTTATGAATGAACGATTCTAGTTTTTTTTTTTTTTTTTTTTTGAATGTTCTCAAGTATGTTCAGGTTTTTGATCTGTGATTGAACTTGTTGAAACACGTATATACGTGTATAGAGATGTTCATAGGTATGAACGCAAATGTCATCTTGAAACTTTTGATATATGATGCTGGTGTTGTTAAATTGAAGTTAGTTATTGAATAAATAGTTATGTAGTGTTTAATCACATGATACAGAACACTAGATTTCAGTGCACCATCTCAGTTTGAATTTCTCACGCGACTTGAATCTGTGAATATCCTTTTCGCTTTAATGTTCTGAGTATTGCTTTGATCTCCTCTCTCTACAGGAAACGTCACCTCTTTCTTCCTGTTTGCCTCGCCAATGTGATCTCTCTCTCTCTCTCTCTCTCTCTCTTCGAAAATTGTTTAATTTAGGGCCTTATGCAAAGCCTTTTACATTATGATTTCAAATTGTTGTAATGGTTCTATTATAAACACCGCAATGTTGTAATAATTTGATGATTTTTGCAGACTAACAATTGTTAGAATTGTCAAGAATAAATCAGTGGAGGAGTTCGAGCCAGACCCGTACATTGCAGCCGTGATGAACTGTATATGCTGGGTTTACTATGCTCTTCCTTTTATTCATCCTGACAGCATGCTCGTGCTCTCCATTAATAGCGTTGGGCTTGCATTGGAGTTGGGTTATCTCGTTATATTCCTCATATACACCAACAACAATAAGCAAAGGGTATGAAATAAACCAGCTCTCTCCTATCTTTCTCCGATTTTTATTTTTGCATTATAATGGAAAAGTTTCAATATTTCCTCTCAAACTAGAATTGGAATACAGGAAAAGTGCATGACGGTTCAGTTTAAGTGATTTTGGGGCTATCTTGGATCCATTTCATTTAAAAAAATAATATATAAATCTACTTTTTAAACTCATTTTCTAGATTTAGTGATGTGTCAACAAGACGATTGATCGATGATTAGAGAATAATTAAGAGAAAATATTTGACTTAGATATTTTAATAGAGTGACACATCATTGTATTTAGAAAGTAAATCTAATTTTTACAGCTAAATAGCTATACTCTTTCATTTATTAGAACTGTTCTTTTTTTTTTTTATGCCTCTCAAGTAGATTATTTAGGAAGATAGTTTTCAAATTAAGGTTTGGTTTGGGATGTTCTAAAAATGTGTACTTTTTGATTTATTGGCTTATATGGGTTAGGTTTGGGTTGAGTTTGATGTGATGTGATTTAAATAAGATGATGTGACTTAAATAGGATAGTGACTTTTTGACTTTTTGTATTATTTAAGTTATGCCAAACTTGGCCTTAGATTGACCTTGCATCACATTTATTTTTTTAAAAAAATAAATAGCAAGTTTTACAAATAAACCGTCCACTTTTTTTAGAAAAAATGTGATCCATATATGTGGCTATTAATATTTAATCAATTTAATTTTTTCCATAAATAATTTACTTCATAGGCACTAAAAAAATGAACATGTATCTATTCCACTATAAAAAGTGAAGGCATGGTGTTGACACATTTTTGTCTCGTATTTTGAGTTTTAATACCTTGTAATTGATTTTTATATAAAAAATAATAGGACAAGATTTGAAACAAAGATCATAAGTTTGACAAAAAAGCTTGTCTGGATAAGAGTAGTCTGGGGTCATTATGAATATCGTTTCGATAATTCAAGCCGTTTATTTTGTTGAACCTTTCATACATATGATTGATACAAAAAATTAGACCAATTCAATATTTATAGCCTATTAATTTATATTCAAAAAATGACCGATCTATTGATGAGGTTGGAATATAAATCATGCTTTTCTTCTTGTTCTTCTTCCTCTTATGTGTGCGCATGTATGTGCATCTATTTCAGTTGAAGATCATTGTTTGTCTTGGTATTGAGGCAGTGATCACTGGCGTTATTGCCGCTATTTCGCTTACAAAATTCCACACCCATGCGAGTAGATCCATATTTGTGGGCATTTTCAGCGTTATCTTTGGAGTGATACTGTACTCTTCCCCTCTTACCATCATGGTATGTCTCTTTGAAATCCCATATTATCTTACAACAATGTCATGCTTACAACACCTTTCCACATTTATGCATTTCAGTAAAAGCATTTTGAATTAATTTCCTTCTCTTATATTAAACAGAGAAAGGTTATCCAGACAAAGAGCGTGGAATTTATGCCCTTTTGGCTCTCTGTGGCCGCTTTCTCCAATGGCCTTATCTGGACGATATATGCTAGCCTAAAGTTTGATCCCTTCATCATGGTAAATTTTTGTTTTATTTTTTTATACTTTTTGGTATTGTATGCATATATGGTCAGTTCTCATGTTGGTTGGGCAAACCCATGAACCAAATTGATATGGTCGAATTTGCCATTTTTAGACTCTAGAATTGAATCAAGCCCTTAAGAACTACACCAACCCAATCCGTAGAGTTCTGATTTGTGTCAAAGTACAAGCCATGCTGAAAATGGCAATCGCAAGATATTAACTGAAATCATATGGTAAATTCCCAAAATTTTGCAAGTCACCATACTATTTATCCTTAAAGATGGTGAAGAGGTGTCCTATTTATTTTCGTAGCTATTGATTTATACTCTTTTTTTTAAGTTCACTTGACAAATATTTTGTTGCTTCTATTGTAGACTGGCAATAGTCTGGGAGCATTACTCGGTGCCGCACAGCTCATTCTATACTGGTACTACCACAAGTCAACTCCAAAGGCTGATCAGAAGAAGCCATGTGAGGTGCAGCTACCGGCGATGTAATCACTCCCTTTCCGCTCATTGTGTGGTCAGAATTTGTTTGAGCACACAGGCAATTTTTCAGCATTCTGACTTAGTTTTTATGTTGGTTTTGGATTTGGGTAATATTTCCAATTTGGATACTTTGAATTTGTAGATATAACATGCTTACATATCTTTGTTTAATCATGTTGTTCATTCATGTGATGTTTAGATGTTTGTCTCCTCTTGTGATTGGAAAATCAGCAAATATGCCAGCATATTCGGTTGGAAACTTAGGATTGAGTTTTGATACTGATAAAGAGTGGAATATCAGTGCCCTCCAATTTTTATTTTTTTATTTTTTTTTTCTACTTTTATTTATTTCATTGTCAGAATCAGACCTACCATTTTATAGAATTTGTCTTGATGTATTACTCTTACTACCTTAAAAAAATCTCAGTCCAACGGGTTGAAAACTGCAAAATGTACCACCCATCAAAATTTATGTGGAAAATTTGCAAAATATGAATTAGATCATTTTCAAAATAAGTCCTTTTACAAAATACACCATACAAAACTATTTTGAAGTAAAAAATGGTTGATTGGTAGATAGTTGATAGATTTTAAATGTGATAACTAGCGAGCATGCGATTGTTTGCTTGGTTAGTGGCAATTGCCCGCTCATATTGAAGTTTCAATTTCAATTCTCACTCATAGATGAGAATTGTTCGTTGATTTTAAAAATATAAAAATTAGGAGACATAATCCAATCGTTAGTATTCTAGAACAAGTAGGTAAGAGAGTCCCTACTCACTTTTCCATGTCAAATAAATTCAATTTTGGCAATATCATTGATTTTTATGAAGAAAGTCATTTCCTTTAATTTGTAGCAGAAAATTTATTTTTAATAAGCGGTGTGCAAAAAATGAACAATCTAATTCGACTTGACAGTAACATCAAATAAAATAATCAATTATATTATTAGGCATGTGGAGCTTCTCTCTCTACCTTTTCTCTTAGGGTTTCTTGTGAGCGGCGTCGCTTGGAGAGGGAGAGGAGGTTTCGGCCTCCAGCCACCCCTCTCCTCTCTCCCCTTTTTTTTTTCCTCTTATTTTTCCTACTCAATAAGCTTTGAGAGAGCTCTCTTCCCAATCTCTCTCTCTTCATGAGGAGTCTCTTCCCCTAGGTGGAAGTTCGCTAGGTTTCCTCCTCCTCTATCCCTTTGGTGTCGGATCTGCCATAGTCCTCTCCCATTGCTATCTGCCATAGTCGCCACCTCCATTCCTCCACCAAATTTGCTTCAGATCTGGACACCTCCAAGGATTCGGTTGTTGCTCCGATTTTGAGGTTGACTTTTCCAACTTTTTTTTTTTTTTTGGTTAGGAATGTTTTTATGGAGTCCATCGGTGTTGTGTTATGGCTTAACTACTTTGTGGTTGTAATCTATGATTTATTTTAGACATACTCTATGGTCGATTGTTTGGCTTCTACTTTGCAGTATGAGCACAAACACAAGATGTGCAGTTGTATTTTTCATAGTTTTTCTCTTGTGTTGTCACGACCCAAACCCGCTCAGATAGGTTTGGCATCGTAACTGGCCTGTAAACCATGATTACCAAAGATCTGCTTACAGTAGCACAATAAAAGGGGCTGATGGAAGCCAGTAAAAAGTAAAATATATCGTCCAATGAACTGTGAAACTTACATGGAACAAAATGAACTTTGATATACCCATCTATATGCACAGTCATACAAATCCAGGCTAAACTTTTGTACAAAAACATATATATAACTTAGGGAATAAAATCCCATTAACAAAGACAAACAAAAGTCTTGAGACAAAACTTGTATCACTGGATCATAATTGTAAAAGAGTGAATTTGGAACCACCCAAAAGCCTAGACACATGACGGGTTTGGACCTCGTTATGAGGCATTGAATTGGCTTCACAAAACGGGATACAAGTTGATGCCGCTAAGTTCGGTCCTGAGTTGGATCACCTATACATATATACTAAACAATGAGCTAAAACCCAATGAATGATCTCAACGTAAAGAGGTTAAATAAACGAGATTCATAACTTGTAAAATAAAACAATGTTTCCGGACACTTGAAATAATAAATAAAATTCCTCAGACCTTAAACAAACCTTTCATCATTATTTCAATGTTCTCGATACACTCTCAACAGCATTATTAAACCCTGACAAAGCACCACACCAAACGTACACGATGAAACGAAGCATTTATCAATTATGGTCTTCAAACCGTTCAAAGTTATTTACATTTCGTTGCATAACCAATAGTATTGAACATATTATGAGCAAAACGACCACAATAGATAGAGGACATAAGCATAACGACCACTATGGATCGACATATACATAACGATCGCAACGGATCGATAAAGACATGATGACCACAATGGATCGACTTAGACAAAACAACCACAATAGATTGACATAGACATAACGACTACCATGGATCGACATAATCATAACGGAGATTTCCGAACAATCAAGCATGTGTTCACGGTATCACATTCGGTAATCAAAAGGGAATCTCATTCATTCTAATGAAAATCTCATGTCCAGGAACATATCGTATTATTTACAATTCAGAGTTTCAAAACATAACTTACCGATTCTAACATTCTTAATCAAACACTTATCATATCAAGCATAACCTAACATAACGTAGGTTTCACAAATTAACAAACCATTTTAGAGTAATTCATATACAAAAATATCTTTACAAAGAGATTACTCGCAATGCTTAGCTGGATGAGATTCCTCGTGCAGACGACCTACACAACACATTCAATCACAACATCTCAAAATTCATTCAATTCGTTCAGTTGGTTTTAAACCTATTCGGTTCATGTGGTACTTATTTGTTCTGTTATTCCAATTCTTTCTTTAATTTCTTTCATGCCTATAATATGCATATGAACGCAAATGCATGTGACAACCATGTAAACGGAGGCCTGGACGTTAGAAAAATGGAGCAAAAACGAAATCGGGACCAACTTGAAAACCACACGTGTGGGGGTACTAGTCGCACATGTGGAACCACTATCGTACGTGCACCCCGCATGTGCAATTAAAGCAGTATGCACACTCTCATCTGTCCTATTTTCCGCACATGCGGGGCCCCAGGCCGCACTTGCGGTTCTAGGTTGCTCAAAATCGAGATTTACTTTTGAATTGGAAATTGACTCCTTTGCAAATTCAACCTCAATTTCTTACATTCCAAGGTCTAAAACACTTCAAAATATATTGAATGTAGTAGTTCTAACTTCAATTCCAAACCACAACTTCAAATCAAAACTAAGTTTTACATGCAAGAGTTTCAAATTTAAGACTGACATATAAATTTATAAAACTTGCATTCTTGGATTTCAAATCCTCAAATCCCATGGAATTTCCCTTCAATTTTGAAAACTCATGCAAGAAATAATGTGGATATACAAGAATGAAGCCATGCATGTCCATAAATTAAGCTAATTTAGTAGTTCTAACTTCAATTCCAAACTACAACTTCAAATCAAAACTAAGTTTTATATGCAAGAGTTTCAAATTTAAGACTGACATATAAATTCATAAAACGTGTATTCTTGGATTTCAAATTCTCAAATCCCATGGAATTTCCCTTCAATTTTGAAAACTCATGCAAGAAATAATGTGGATATACAAGAATGAAGCCATGCATGTCCATAAATTAAGCTAATTCTTTCAATTCTTCACTTTTATGATCATATATGTTTATATAGCTTTTCAATTCAAAACCTTCCTACAAAACTCCTACGTCCTCATAAATTCATCATATTTCAACTCAATTTCTAAGAAATTAAGATTATCTCATCTTAAGTCCATAAGAGGAGAAGAGAATTCGTACCTAGGGCCTTCATAGCTACTCAATCTTGCATAATCTTGTTGAACACAAGCTTGACCTTGAGGCCCCTCCTTCAATTTCCACACATTTTTCATCTTCTCTCTCTCTCTCTATGCGTTTTTGCTTCTTGAAAGGAATAAGATAAGCTCAAATATGTTTACCATGTCATATATATCTATTTAGGCCAACCAAACATAACTTAACGAATCAGACGGAATCAATTTTTAATTAAACTTTTCAAATGATTCTAAAAATTCTCATTAATATATTCATGTCCTCCATTCCGTTTTCTGAAGTCGTAACTCCAACAGATATTTTTTCCAATTTGGACAGATATGCACAAATAAATCACATAATCAATGACTAACTCATAATTCAATTAATATAATCATGACTTGCATTTTGGATTTAAATTAAGTGAAACTAAATTTAATCACACTAATGTGACGGAGGCTCTATTTGCTATCCAACTATTTAATTCTAACTTGTTGAAATTACTGATTCAGACAAATTCAATTCATATCAAATACATATCTGTTAATCATATTTCATTTCAATTCAATTCATACATAGTACATAATTAACATATAAACACATAATCAAGGTCAATCATATAATTAACTTAATTAATTAAAGAGATGGTTGTCACATGTGTGTTCTTTGATTTATTTTCTCTTTGCTTGGTATAAGCTTTTGTTAGATGAACTCCCCTCTACAAGTGTTATTTGCTTTCATTAATGAAAATTTCTTTTTGATAAAAAAAAATAATAAAAAATAAAAAAACCAACTTGGCAATTGGTAAACTTCAAATGGTACTTCACTCAGAAACAAATTTGGATTTGTTAGAAAATTAGGTTGTACCCCAATTGTTAAAATAGGAAATATGGTCAGTGCCGTGCTAAAGGCACAACAGTGACTGTTGTGTCTTAATTTGAGGTATATTATGGATTTATTTTTATGATCTGAACTGTTTATTTTGTAAGATTTGTTGAGTACTTCATGCCTATAAAAAACGGTGATGCTACATGCATCAATTAGTGTACACACTAGTTTACTAAGTAGTGTTTTGAGAAATTGGTAAAAAAAAACTAATTTTTTAGTTTTTTTAGTCTATTTTGTCTTTTTGTAGGTAAAAAATGTGAGAGGTGATGTGACTCAAAATGGGTAAAAAGCTAAAAGCTGGCTTTTTACTAGATTGCTAAAGCACCCCTAACTAGTGTTATGATATCATAAATGACCCTATTTATTATACAAATTACAAATACTCAAAACTTTTAAAATTATGTCACATCATCTATCGGTACACTAGTATGTACATTAATTAGTGCATATAACATTATTCTATCAAAAATCATATTAATCGAATATCAATAACTATATGATCGATAACCAAAAAAATAAACAATAAGTTTTTCTTTTGAGAAATAACATAAAAAATATGCAATTCAATCATATAGTTATTGATATCTGATTAATATAATTTTTGGTAGGCATGAAGTACTCAACAAACCCTACAAAATGAACGGTTTGGATCATAAAAATAAGTCCATAATACACTTCAAATTGAGACACAACATTTACTCCATGTCCGTTAAAATAAGGCTAAAAGAAATTAATGTAAATGCTAATAAATTATTAATAAGTTTTTTTTAAAATTAAAATCTTAAAATAATCTAATTTAAAGTTATAGATTTTTTTTTTTAATTTTTTAAAAATCTTAGAACATCAGTATGTTTGGTTTCAATTTTCTGAATTTAATTTTCTAAAAATTGAGACCTTGTTTGGTTTGACTTTGGGAGATAAGTTTTCAAAAAATATTTTGGGAAAAAAGTTTAGAAATTTTTGTAGTTTATTTGGTTGTATATTTTGAAAATACTTTTGAAATTTGGGAGTTTGAGATAATTTGATATTTTGTTATAATTGAGTAGATGTATGTAAGAGAAAAAATGATTGATTGATGTGTAAAGAGAGAAAGTGATTTTGAAAATTTTTTGAGAAAAATTACAAACCAAACAAAATTTTCAAAATCTTTTTCCCAAAGCCAAACCAAACAAGGCCTGAGTTTTTTGTTTTTTTGTTTTTAGTGAATATTTCTAAAATTTTAAACATTTTTTTTATTTTTTTAGATGTATCTAAAAAGTAAAATATTTGTGAAAAAATATTTTAAAAAATTAATAAATACACAAAAATACAAAAAAATATTCTAAATTTATGTAATTTTTTGTATTTTTAGTATTTAGTGATTTTTTTTAAAGTTTTTTTTACGAAAATTATACTTTTTAAGTGTATTTATGTTAGGTGTGTCTAAAAATTAAAAAAAAAAATTGCTTAAAATATTAAAAAAAATTCAGTAAAAACAAATAAATACAGAAAATAAGAAAGTAAAATTTTTTAAAAAGTGTTTTCAAAAAAATGAAAACAAACATGTTGACTTAAAAAATTAAAAGAATGACATACAAGTAAGAGAAGGACAAAAAAATTATTCATACAATCTTTCATTTATATTTTACTATAACAGCAATGATTCATTCCACTAAAAACATCACCACTAATAGCACTAATGCATTAAAAAAGTAAAAAAAAAAAAATACAACTCTAAGACCAAAACATCACATCATTAATGACGGGACCCACTGCCACCTAATTAGTGGGAGCACTTAGTGCTCCCAAGCATTTTTCTTTACTATAAATACACTTACACTCTATGTATTAGTAATTTTTTTTCCGCCTATTCTACTAGGGTATAGTTCTCCCAAAAATAAAACAAAATAGCTGAGTGGCCTTGTTTGGTTTGCTTTTGAGAGAATAGTTTTGGGAAATTTTTTTCAAAATTTTGTTTGGTTTAATAATTTTGAAAAAAAAATCAAAATTATTCTCTCTCCTACACATCAACTAATCACTTTTTCTCTCTCATCTTCTTCTCAATCACTTTTTCTCTCACACACATTTACTCAATTATAATAAAATATCAAATCATCTCAAACTCTCATACTCCAAAACTATTTTCAAAATATATAACCAAACAAATTAAAAAAAATTCTAAACTCTTTTCCCAAATTTTTTTTTAAAAATTTATTTTTCAAAACCAAACCAAATGTGCGTATGTTTGGTTTGAATTTGTAGAGTGATTGATTTTGGGAAATTTTTTCTAAAAAACTTGTTTGGTTTGTAATTTTTTCAAAATAATTTTCAAAATCACTTTCTCCCTCTTACACATCAATCAATCACTTTTTCTCTCTCTTCTCTCCTTCTCAATCACTTTTTTTCTCACAAACATCTACTCAATTATAACAAAATATCAAATCACTCTAAACTCCAAAACTACTTTCAAAATCAACAATGATTCATCCCACTAATTTAGGAGCACCAATTGACCACTAATGATGTGAAAATTAAAAAAAAAAAATTAAAACCAAAATATCACATCAATAAGTGAGACCCACCAATTAGTACTCTTCTAATACTTAGGCCCCGTTTGGAGACTTACTTTTTTAGCCAAAAAGTCAAAAAGTTACATTTTTAGCTAAAAAGCAAACAACTCATACCAAAAAGTCAAAGATTCTCTTTTCTCTCTATTTTTTGCACATCTTTTCGTAATTAGTTAAAAAGTCATCCCAAACATATAAATTTTTTTTACCTACTTTTTTAACTAAATAATCAAAAAATTATTAAATTAATCTATTCCCAAACGAGACCTTAGTGGTCTTCAACATTTTTCTTTCAAAATATATAACCAAACAAACGAACCAACTTTTAAAAACTGGTCTCTCAGAACCAAACCAAAAAATCTTACCGTCTTATCCGCAGCTGGACTTGCAAACCTATGAAGTCCAAATCCGATACGTAGAATTTGCCAGATGTGTGTTTCTTCGATCTTCCTTGACTCTACCTTATCTCCTTCTCTTTCTCTCTCTTTTCTTTCTATCTCTAAAAACCACACCTACTATAAGTTAACTTGTTCACATTCTCAATTCTTTGATTCTAAGCCCTAGATGCCATTTATCTTCTGTTAGACCTCCAATCAATTCCCATGGCAGCTCTTATCTCCTACCACTTCTGTTCTTCTCTCATCAACCCTAATTTCTCCACCAATTCTCCCAAAAACGCCTCAGCCTCCTTTCGACTGCGATGTTCTTCCGAAAGTCCTCGTCGATTTCAACTCCACAAGAATCAGGTAATTCGATCAATCATATGAATCTGTGTTGAATATTGTGGTGAATTTTGATAAAAATTTGGTTGATTTGAACAGAGAGATAGGTTGTTTCCATTGAAGGAATGTGCGATTTCAGTAGCGTTGGCGATTGGATTGATAACTGGAGTACCTGCGTTGGATTGGTCTTATTATTATGCCAATGCAGCTACTCCGGCGCTTCCAGATTTGTCGGTGTTGATATCGGGGCCGCCGATTAAGGATCCAGGGGCGTTGTTGAGATATGCTTTGCCTGTTGATAATAAAGCTATAAGGGAGGTTCAAAAGCCACTTGAAGATATCACAGACAGTCTCAAGATTGCTGGGGTCAAGGCACTTGATTCTGTTGAAAGAGTGAGAAAATCCATCTATATATATATATATATATATTGTGGTGATGCGTTTGGTTAGTTATTATTTGGAGAGATTAGATTAATGGTAATGGATAATTGTTTTTGTGGGTTTTAGAATTTGAGGCAGGCATCCCGGGCTCTGAAGCAGGGGAAGAGTATGATTGTTTCGGGATTGGCGGAATCAAAGAAGGAACATGGAGTTGAATTGCTGGATAAGATTGAAGCTGGCATGGGTGAGCTCCAACAAATTGTGGAGGATAGAAATCGTGATGCCGTAGCACCTAAACAGAAGGAGCTGCTTAATTATGTTGGAGGGTGAGTATACAAAACTAGTCTTGGTTCTGCTCATGCACATTTACACTCATGCCAGGCACAAACTCCTAAAGAAAATATGCAATGGGTTTTGAAGACAATAATTGTCTGTATAGTTAAGTTATGTTAGGAAGGTAAGATTTTAGGAGAATTCTTTGCAGGATGGTTTTGCAAGATTAATGTAATGTCTACCAAAAAAGGGAGGAAAACTTATGCGAAGCTGTGTTTAGTAAAAGGTTGTAAAATTTTGGAACTTATTCAATCTCATATTTGTGATGAGGCTATGTGGTCATAGGATTATTTGTTGGATTAAGGCATCTTTAACATCGTGTCCTTGCATTTTGAGGCCTAAAAATCCACAAACTTGAGTTTCAAGGTTGTGCCTAAAGGCATCTCCCAGCATGACTATTATTATGATTTCAGGTGCCTGCATAAGGGGGCAGTGGAAACATGTATTCGATAAAAATTTATTTCTATTGCATTACAATTTAACAAAATTTAGATAACAAATATATATATATATATATAATAATTGAACTTCAATTAGTTGAATCGAATATTTATTTTTTAGCTTACCAATGCTATAAGAACAAAAATTAATTGGTGGTAAGGATGGGAATTTTCTACACAACTCAAGTAATATATAAAATTAGCAAGTTAAGGTTGACTATTTTCAACATGAATCCAAGTATGACACAACTTAATAACATGAATTATTAGTTATATATTTGAATGTTCACTAAGGGATACCATGACATTTTTTTAATATTTTATTTAACTCTATCTAACTGAATAAAAAAGTATGTAAAATAATAATTAAGGCTAATATCTTTTTTTCATTTAAGATATATATTTTTTGTTACTTATTTTAGAGTCAATCTAATAAAAAATATATAGTAATAAGGTACAATTTTTTTAATTAGAAAAATGCAATTGAATTAAAATCAAACATTCTATGAATAATTTCATTTAGTTGAAATAAATTTTATAAAATTCAACTTATGAGAAAAATTTTAATCTCTCAATACACTTACTAAGTTATTTTTAACTAAAAGTGAAAGTTTTCACATTAAACATCAATTGAACGTGAATCAAAATAACACCACACAACAACATAAAAATAAATAAATTGAGCTAATATTAAAATAATTATAAAATAAAATGATATGATACACTTCCTTAATTAGAGATTTTAAATTTTATTCAAAATTAGGAGCTCGAGGCGACCTCCTCAGTCGCCTCACCCCGGGGCCGGCCCTGAATGGAAGGACCTGATGTGTGGGGGCTCATCCAAGGGAAGGAAAAATTATTCCATGTGCCATGGACATTGATTTGGCAGTAAATTAGAATTTTTTTTTTTTTTTCAAATTTTTATTTTTTTAATTTGTCTAGTCTTATAGAATCTAAATATATATATATTTTTAAAAATCATAAAAATAAAAAAAATAATTAAAACATCACCTAAAAAGAGGGAAAAGTTGACTGTCGAGTACAAGTTCAGAAGTCAATGAACAGGATGGACCACCATAAAAGAAAAAAAAAACAAAAAATGCACCGTCACTCTAAAATTTTGAAAAAATTTCTTTAATAGGATAGAGTATTAATTAAGAAAATATATAAATTATATAGATTTGTCACTCCAAAATATATTTAAAAAGTTTACTACTCGCCCCTAAAGATGAAATGACTCTCTCTACCTCTCCCTTATTCTTTTTATTTGTTTTAGTTTTCTTATGTCTTTTCTTATTTTTCTTTTGCTTCAAATTTTTATTTTGTTGTTGTTGTTTGGATACTCTATTTTATTCTTCTTCTTTAGTATTTTAAGAATTGAAATTATTTGTAAAAATTGAATTAAGGAGAATTTGATTGAGTTACTTTTTTTTAAAGCTTTGTTTCAGATCCCAATAATAATTATTTATGTCTTTCAAAATTAACAATATTAGAGAACTTACAAATAATGACTCCAAAAAGCAAGAAAGCTGTAATTAAAATTTCAATTGTAAAATTATGAAATTCATATCCTTAAACATCTTCATTTAAAAGTTGTTAACAATTTTTAAGTGGTGTCAAGTATTGGTGAAGATATGATATAGGATAATTTTATAACATGTTATCTGGTCGTATATCATATTGATTATATATTTTTGAATAAATATATGTGATAATATAGTTTTGTGATATTTTTTGCATTGTATTGAAAGAAATTGATATTGCATTTCACACATTCACTACCAAAAAAATTTAGGAAAATATCAAATAAGTTTTATTTTTTTAATAAAATTCCCATGAAATCCTATTAACACATGAATCATGTATAGTGTTAATAGGACCCAATGAAAATTTATAAAAGTAGGACTGATTTGATATCTTCCCAAACACATACTATATACATTCACCCCCTCAGGATTAAGATCCTACATTCGTCCCTCTCTATGCCAAATAAGAATTTGAAAGGAACTTATCTTATCTAATATTTTTGGCAAGTTCGGCAAGTTTTGGGTTTGGGTTTTTTTTTAATTTTTTTCACTAAAAGTCAAAGTTTTTGCAAAATAAAAAAAAATACATCCAAACAAAATATCACATCCAACCCCATAATCGTTACACTTTTTCTCTCACAAACATCACATCCAACCACAAAAAACTCAACTATCTTCCCAAACACCAAATTTTTTTTTCTCCAATAATATCCTACAACTAAAAAAACTTACATAAAAACTCACTTTCCAAACATCCACAATGTTTTATTAATAATTCATGTAAGACCCATTAGTCTATAACAATTGGTGATGTGCAAGTTAAGTGGCAAGTAAAAATGATTAAGGGTAAATTAGACTGATCTCCTTTGATAGTCTCACTAATGTAGCATTTTCCTAAAAGACAAACAAACTAAAAAAAAGTCAAGCATTTTACTTTTAAAGTACAAATTACATATAGTAATATTGCATCTCATAAATCATTATTAAAGAAAGACGAACCAAGAAAAAAAAATGAAGGCATTTATTTTCTTTAGGGTACAAATTTCAAAGGTTTCTCATTCTTTAGCCTGAACTGGCCATTTGTATCTTAGAATTAGCCATGATGGAAGTGGTGTCCTTGTACCAATATGTATTACTTTCTTCATTGCTTGTATAGTCTGAACTGCTTGTATGGTCTGGATACAAATAATGGAATGGTTTAGGAGGTGGCTTCACCTCTATTTCTCCCTCCAACATTTTCACTACAACACTCATCAGCGGCCTAGCGTGGGGTGAGTCCTGAACACACCACAAAGCTACCATTGCCATTCTCTCTGCTTTCTCTCTATTATTCTCTTCGATTCCACATGACAACAATGTCATCTCTCCCAACTTGCCTTTCTCAAACTCATTCCATACATGTTTTGGGAACCAATCCAAGCTGTCATCAGCTCCAACTCTGGTATTCCTCCTCCTCCCTACTATCTCAAACAAAAGCATGCCAAAACTATAAACATCACATTGACATGTAATGGGATAGTTCTTGAGATGAAACTCTGGGGCTGAGTAACCAGGAGTCCCTCTATATCCTTCAGGAGAGTCATGTGTGTCGTCTCTATTGCAAAGCTTTGCCAGCCCGAAATCAGCAATTTTGGGAGAAAAATTGGCATCTAACAAAACATTACCTGGCTTTATGTCATAGTGAACGATCATCGGTTGACACTCTTCTTGTAGGTAAGCGATACCTTTTGCTGTCCCAATCGCTATCTCATACAGCTTCTCTCGCTCAATTGCTCGTGTATCACTGAAAAGGTGTTTATCTAGTGATCGATTTTCCATGTACTCGAACACCAATGCGCTCATAAAGTTGTCGTGGCAAAAACCATATAGCCTGACTAGATTTGTATGGTATGTTCTTCCAATCGTGCTCACCTCTGCCATGAACTGTTCCTCTGCTCCTCTAGTATTCGATTTCCTATTGAGGACCTTAACCGCGATCTTAACTCCATTTGGAAATTGACCCTTGTAAACAATCCCAAAGCCTCCAGAACCCAACCTTGTAGAATAATTAGTTGTGAAATAACATAGTTGTTGGGCTGTGAATCTAACCGGTTTCTTCTTTTCCCAGTCTTGGACGAAACTCTCCATTGTTGGCGCATCGGTTTCCCAAACTGGAACCACATTCAAGGTCAGTGGTGAAGCCACAGTTGTTGGCAATTCTGGACCAATTGATCTTCTTCTCATTCTCCTAGCCCAAGCCAATGAGATAATGACGATGACTACAAGTACTACTACAGACACTATTACAACTGTAAATTGAAAAAAAAAAACCAAAATAAACAAACAATCATCAAAATGGTGACATTTTAGGCTCACAATTAAGTCAAATCTTAGTGTTTGTATAGAATAAATTACAGGTTCTGTAAGCAAAGCGTCACTTCAGTTTTCATGGTTTCAATTTAAACATTTGAACCTCAAATTTTCAATTTTGTTGGTTATATATCCCTATATCATTGGCCGCTAAATATCTTGAACGAAACAAATCACATGAAAAATTAAAAGGACCAAAGTGTAAATTACATCAATAATCCCTATAGTTCCTTGTGAATTTCACATTGGCCTCTTTAATTTTACTCCTAATATTTTTCTTTTCAAAATTCTTATGATAAGTGACAGATGGTTCGCATTACAACAAAACTAAAATTATATGATTCAAATTGAAACCGCGAGGACTAAAATTAGAGGGACCAACAATATAATTAATCCGTTGATATATTGTTATTGTATTAATTTGAGAAATTACAAAAAAAAAAAAAAAATCTCAAAATTTGATACTAATAACAAGTTAAATTCTAAATCTTTAATTTTTTCTAATGAACTCCAAGCTTCTAAATTGATATCAATTTCAACATTCCATCAGTCTGTAAAGTTGCTTGTACTAAAAGGCAATATATATATATATATATATATGCCTTATACAACTGAGATCAATTTAAAAGGCTGGAATTCAAAATGAATTTTTTAAAAAAAAAAATAAAAAAAATTTAAGATTTAATTTGTTACATGAGTTTTTTTTTTGTTTGGAAAAATTAAACTGCTAGTCCCTGTAATTTAATCTTCGTATCATTTTGATCCTTACAATTTCAATTGAATCGATTTTGATCTTGAATTTTATAATTTGTTTCAAATTGGTCAAATTGTTAGCATTTATTTATGGTAAATGAACATATGAACAACATATGTCATGTTTTTAAGAGCAAAATCGTAAACTTATCAATTCAGTAACTTAATCTTAACTAATTCAGTGAAAATATTTTGTTAAAAAACCTATCAGATTATCGATTAGACCAATTGACGCAAAATTTAAAATCAATGATAAAAATTGAACCAATTGAAATTATAGGAACTAAGATGATACAAATGATAAACGTAGAAATTACCAGTGTAATTTATCTTTTTTTTTGTTGTTGTAATTTTTTTTTTTTTTTTTGGTGGTAAATTACACTCAGAACCAGTGCAATTTACATCCAGTCTAACTTTGTTCTCCAATCTTTTAAAGTGGTAGACAACACCTCACATGGTCCAGTTCGAATTCAACCAAAGTAGCAGGTGAAATTCATTTGGCCACTATCAAGACAATACAGTAAAAGAAAAATCATACTTTACATCCAGCCTCACTTTACCTCATAACCTTTAAAAAATTGACAATAAACATCTCACACTTTTATTCAAGTTCCAATCCAACCCATCTGAGAGGGAGATTTATGATCTGGATTGGGCCGTGGAATTGGGCCGGAGAGATTTGGGCCGGACAGAGTTGTGCCAGACAGATTTGGGCCGAACAGGTGTTAGGCCAAGTTGTGTGGCCCAGCCTTGAAGGAAGCTGCTCGGTTAAGGCAGCGCGTGGATTGACCGAGCTGCAAGGATCCGTGATTACGAAGCCGGTCAGGTGAAAGGTCCAGCGCCAGGAAAGGCAAGGTTGGACCGAGGTACCTTTTTGCTCGGCAGGTAGGTCGACCGCAGACAAGCGTGAGTTGTCCCGAGCTCGGCTTTGCCGAGATGCCGCCGAGTCCGGTCCTCATCTGAGCTTAGCTGTTGGAGTACTTGGGCATGAAGCGCAGCATGGCAGACGATGGCCGAGATGGTACTGCCCGGCTGCCGAGCTCCTAGGAGAATGGGCAGGCAGTTGGGTTAGGTGGTGCTCAGCAAGGTTTATGCTGACAGATGGGATAGTAGTGCCACGTGTTGAGAGAACACTAGGAGTAGATTTGGGGCGCAGAAGGTATATAAGCACGTCTGCGCTCCCCATACGCGGACAGATGAACATTTGGTGAGACATACACTAAACACTCAACACTCTCCCTTCTCTCTATCTATCCCCTGGTGTGTGTTCTAACTTGACCGTCGGAGGGGTTTTCCGGCCACACACCGCCGGGTAGCTCACCCACATTGTGCTTTCAGGTGATCGGACAGAAACGAAGCTTGGAAGAAAGGAATACGGGCTCGCCTGAATATTTGCTCCTCGTACAATTGGCGCCGTCTGTGGGAAGCTTGACAGATAAAACCTTGTCTTCCAGGCTCATCTGATCGCCGTCCATGGCGAACAACGACGAGATTCCGTTGTCCGCCATCGATGGAGCTACCCCGGAGTTCACCCGACGGAGAGAAGGACATCCTGTCATCCTTCCAATGGCGAACTTGGATACGTTCACTGGAGGACAGTCAGGAGACGCGCGGGATAAGCGCGGAAGAAGTTATGGTCATTCACGAAGTCCAGACGGTCATCGGTGGCGGAGAGAATCACATGCCCGACGTCTGGAACACAAGTTGAGGGACCAAGACGCTGTCATCCGGCGAATGACGGCGGAGATGGAGGAGTTGAAGCGGCATGTCAAGGGGAAGGGTGTAGATGGAGTGGTAGACCACAGAGAGTGCACCCCATCCCGCCGTTCAGAGAAGTCCAGCGCGCAAGATAGCACTTACCAGCTCTCACATCCGGTGACAACGTCGAGATATTCCTATTCCGCTCGTTCATAGGACTTGCGGGCAGTCTTGAAGGAACAGGCTAGCCGGCGGGAGGCTCAAAGGGTGCCGGCGTTCCAGCGGCTATCCTACAGGGTTCATGCCAGCGAGGAGGTCGGAATGCCCCCACCCCGCCTAGTGGCGCCACTCCTTGTAAATACAGACTTGACGAGGCTGAGCGCCACCCCTTTCTCCCTGGAGATAGAAACAACATCACTTCCCGCGGGCTTCCACCAGCCAAAGTTCACGCTTTATGACGGAAAGACCGATCCGTATATGCATGTAAGCCACTTCCGACAGGTCATGGCCGGACGTAGGCGAAATGACGCTCTTATGTGCCTCATCTTCCCGTCAAGTTTGGGCGAGTTGGGCTTGAAATGGTTTGAGAGGTTGCCGGAGGGGAGCATAGAAAGGTGGCAGCGGTTGGCGGAAGCCTTTGTGACGCGTTTCAAAACCAACACCAAAACGCCAAAGGAAGTTGACCACCTTCTCAGTGTCAGGATGGAACTGAGCGACACTCTCAACGCGTACAACTCCAGGTACTGGGATACCTTCAATGAGATCCTAGATTGCCCGGTCAACCTGGCAATCACCCAATATAAGCGCGGTCTCCCGCTCGGACATAGGCTGAGGGATTCGCTTACAATGAGCCAGCAGACATCCATGTGGCACCTAATGCAGCGCATCAATGAGCATATCTAAGTAGAGGGTGATGCAGCGACGTCCACTGCGGAGACAACCTCGATGGCAACGGGCAAGTGGGCGACTGGGTTTTAAGGAAGGTCATGGGCAAAGCACTAGTGCCGGGTGATGGCAAGCTAGGGGCAAACTAGGAAGAGCCTTACAAGATAACCGGGCAAGGGGGCATACCACTTAGAGGATTTGGATGGCAAAGGTGTACCCCGGCCATGGAATGCGGCCTTATGTAATTTTTTGAGGGACTTGTTTCCCCTACACTTCTGAATGCAAATACTCTTTTTGTCAATGTAATAGAAGTGAATTACTTTTGCTGAAGAGCTTTGTTGTGTCCGAAATAATAGTGGATAAGGAGCCTACTCTTCTGTTCCAACCGAGATGTTTTACTCCGGTTGAAGAGTTGATGATTTGCTCAACTACAAGGTTAGGAAGTCGCGGAGCGGACCTTGCTCGCCTTCTTTGGAGTTCCTTGCCGAGCTGATGTTGCTTGCCAAGAAGGAAATCGCGGAGCGGACCTTGCTCGTCTTCTTTGGAGTTCCTTGCTGAGCTGATGTTGCTCGCCAAGAAAGAAGTCGCGGAGCGGACCTTGCTCGCCTTCCTTGGAGTTCCTTGCCGAGCTGATGTTGCTTGCCAAGAAGGAAATCGCGGAGCGGACCTTGCTCGTCTTCTTTGGAGTTCCTTGCTGAGCTGATGTTGCTCGCCAAGAAAGAAGTCGCGGAGCGGACCTTGCTCGCCTTCCTTGGAGTTCCTTGCCGAGCTGATGTTGCTTGCCAAGAAGGAAATCGCGGAGCGGACCTTGCTCGTCTTCTTTGGAGTTCCTTGCTGAGCTGATGTTGCTCGCCAAGAAAGAAGTCGCGGAGCGGACCTTGCTCGCCTTCCTTGGAGTTCCTTGCCGAGCTGATGTTGCTTGCCAAGAAGGAAATCGCGGAGCGGACCTTGCTCGTCTTCTTTGGAGTTCCTTGCTGAGCTGATGTTGCTCGCCAAGAAAGAAGTCGCGGAGCGGACCTTGCTCGCCTTCCTTGGAGTTCCTTGCCGAGCTGATGTTGCTTGCCAAGAAGGAAATCGCGGAGCGGACCTTGCTCGTCTTCTTTGGAGTTCCTTGCTGAGCTGATGTTGCTCGCCAAGAAAGAAGTCGCGGAGCGGACCTTGCTCGCCTTCCTTGGAGTTCCTTGCCGAGCTGATGTTGCTTGCCAAGAAGGAAATCGCGGAGCGGACCTTGCTCGTCTTCTTTGGAGTTCCTTGCTGAGCTGATGTTGCTCGCCAAGAAAGAAGTCGCGGAGCGGACCTTGCTCGCCTTCCTTGGAGTTCCTTGCCGAGCTGATGTTGCTTGCCAAGAAGGAAATCGCGGAGCGGACCTTGCTCGTCTTCTTTGGAGTTCCTTGCTGAGCTGATGTTGCTCGCCGAGAAGGAAGTCGCGGAGCGGACCTTGCTCGCCTTCCTTGGAGTTCCTTGTCGAGCTGATGTTGCTCGCCAAGAAGGAAGTCGCGGAGCAGACCTTGCTCGCCTTCTTTAGAGTTCCTTGTCGAGCTGATGTTGCTTGCCGAGAAGGAAGTCGCGGAGCGGACCTTGCTCACCTTCCTTAGAGTTCCTTGCCGAGCTGATGTTGCTCGCCGAGAAGGAAGTCGCGGAGTTGATGTTGCTCGCCAAGAAGGAAGTCGCAGAGCGGACCTTGCTTGCCTTCTTTAGAGTTCCTTGCCGAGCTGATATTGCTCGCCGAGAAGGAAGTCGCGGAGCGGACCTTGCTCGCCTTCCTTGGAGTTCCTTGCCGAGCTAATGTTGCTCGCCAAGAAACAAGTCGCGGAGCGGACCTTGCTCGTCGACCTTGGAAGTTCCTTGCCGAGCTGATGTTGCTCGCCGAGAAGAAAGTCGCGGAGCGGACCTTGCTCGCCTTCCTTGGAGTTCCTTGCCGAGCTGATGTTGCTTGCCAAGAAGGAAGTCGCGGAGCGGACCTTGCTCGCCTTCTTTGGAGTTCCTTGGCCGAGCTGATCTTGCTCACCAAGAAAGAAGTCGTGGAGCGAACCTTGCTCGCCTTCTTAGTGCGGTCACCGTGTTGCAGACTAAGAACCGAGGAAGAGTTACCCCGGTCAGATAGGTAATCCCAGTCACGCTTGAGCGGACGGAATTAAGGGGCAATTGAAAGGGAGATTTATGATCTGGATTGGGCCGTGGAATTGGGCCGGACAGAGTTGTGCCAGACAGATTTGGGTCGAACAAGTGTTGGGCCAAGTTATGTGGCCCAGCCTTGAAGGAAGCTGCTTGGTTAAGGCAGCGCGTGGATTGACCGAGCTGCAAGGATCCGTGGTTACGAAGCGGGTCAGGTTAAAGGTCCAGCGCCAGGAAAGGCAAGGTTGGACCGAGGTACCTTTTTGCTCGGCAGGTAGGTCGACCGCAAACAAGCGTGAGTTGTCCCGAGCTCGGCTTTGCCGAGATGCTGCCGAGTCCGGTCCTCATCTGAGCTTAGCTGTTGGAGTACTTGGGCATGAAGCGCAGCATGGCAGACGATGGCCGAGATGGTACTGCCCGGCTGCCGAGCTCCTAGGAGAATGGGCAGGCAGTTGGGTTAGGTGGTGCTCAGCAAGATTTATGCTGACAGATGGGATAGTAGTGCCACGTGTTGAGAGAACACTGGGAGTAGATTTGGGGCGCAGAAGGTATATAAGCACGTCTGCGCCCCCCATACGCGGGCAGATGAACATTTGGTGAGACATACACTAAACACTCAACACTCTCCCTTCTCTCTATCTATCCCCTGGTGTGTGTTCTAACTTGACCGTCGGAGGGTTTTCCGGCCACACACCGCCGGGTAGCTCACCCACATTGTGCTTTCAGGTGATCGGACAGAAACGAAGCTTGGAAGAAAGGAATACGGGCTCGCCTGAATATTTGCTCCCCGTACACCATCCGTTAACCCACGCTAGGCACCTTATTTAATGTAAATTAACAAATGAGTTTGATTGAAACTTAACCAAAAGTAAGAGACGTTGATTGTGATTTTTTAAAGGTCAGAAGACAAAGTGAGATTGAGTATAAAATGTAAAGGTGCTAAATATAATTTTTCATTTTTTTTTTTATAATTTTTAAAACAACTTCAACTTGATGAACTAACTTACCAACAGCTATTGTCCCAGCGTTGCTGAAGCTGTCGGGCGGGAGAGGGTTGGAGAAGTCGGCCGAAAAATTGCTGACGGAGACAGGCGTTGACATCTCTGGGGTGGGAATCAAAAGCACTTTGAAAATTTCAATTCAAATAAACCAACATTGATTTCTTGGGTACAAAAATTTGACATTTATCATGCATTTATTGACTGTTAATGGAAATTTTATTTGGACGAAGAGTACTATATAGAAAAAGGCTAAACACTTGCTATTTAAGTTTCGCAATTCACCCTTAATGATATATGATAACGGAGTTAGGTCTTAGATGATATAGTTTGTGATAAATTAAAAATTAGACACATAATTTGTTATATCATTGTGAATAAAATTGTACAACTTAAATTGTGAGTTTCAATTTTTTTTTCCTGTCAAATAAATTTGAAATGGAAAACTAATTATAAATTGGTCCAAAAAAGATATATATATATATATATATAAAAAATAGATAATTATGTGGGGAATGAAATCCTGCTTACCTTGCCCCTGGTCTCCTTTAGCAGAAAAGAGGGAGTTCAATATATTAGTGCTTTAAACTAGTATACAAGGACTAGCAGATTGTAATTGAAACACTATATAGTATAGACTCCCATTTTTGTCATTAAAACAGTCACGTATATATGGAGAAACCAGATCATCTATTTTTAAAACAGTAAGTAATATTAGAGATTAAAAATTAATATATAGAAAAATATCAAGAAAAAATTATGTCTACCCTAAATTCAACTCTTGTATTGTGGAATGTCTATTTTCTAGTGAATTAAAAAATGATTTGATGACTATCATGTCATTATGTCATTTTTCCTTTTTCAATCTGATGATTAGATTATCTTTTTATCACACTTCTTAATTCAGTAGAGAAAGTAGATTTGAAATCCATTTTTCTAGTCTTTCGTAAACAATTATACATGATTCTTTATGTTATTTCCATTAATAATGTTAGGAACGCAATACATAGAAACATATTGATAAATATGATTTTCTAGATATAGATTACAAATATTATAAAATTATACCTATTCATATGTTTTATGTGCTTTATAAAATATTCATGATATCCTCAAATTGATAAAAATAAAGAAGAGAGATTTAGCATAAAACAAACTTGGGTTAACCAAAATATCTCATTGAATGTTCATTAATTAAATTTTAAAATTGGTCTAATTTTTTACTCGGTAAAACTCCTATCATGAATTAGAAGGCCTATTTTGAGAAGTGGGTTATAATCCACTTTCCAGATTATAACCCACTTTCTTTCTCACAAAAAGCTGCTTATAAGTTGTTTATAAGCAACTTTTCACCAAAAAACTGATTATAACCATATTTTCAAAATAACCCGAAGTTTAGTTATTTTTTTAGAGCTTAATTTGAGTAAGAAATTCACATACCAACAACCTGAAAGTGTACACTTGGGTTGAGAACTCTGCTTTCACCACGAAATGCAGACTAATTGCCTTTTTCTTTGTTTCTTACTTCTCTTTATTCTTGGTTAAACTGATAAATAAATGTAGATGAGAGAGAGAGAGAGAGAGAGAGTACTAATGGCTAAGCTGATAAATAAATATAAATGAGAGAGAGAGTGTACTAAGAAGGTGCGAGGAGGAAATTTCGAAGAGTACCACAAGTTCAGAAGTCTGTGCACAAGGATGGACTTTTGGGGCTGGCAGGACGAACCCCCCGCCGCCGGACCCCCCTCCCCCCAAAGTTTTGACTAAAAATGGGAGAGAAATCAGACTTTTTTGTCTATATATATTCATTATTCAAAATTTTAATTTGTCTATATATATATTTTTATGCTGGGATTACCAATATCCCTATCATGGAATAGAAGTTTTGAGAAAATTCCTTCGATAGAATAGTATTAGTTAAGAACATGCCTATAAATTATATAAGTTCACTACCCCTTAGTGTTTTTTTTAAAAAATTAATACTTGTCCCTAAGATATTCTCATATCTAAATGACTCTCTCTCTCTTATTCTTCTTATTTGTTTCGGTTATCTCATGCCTCTTCTTATTCTTCTTTTGTTTCAATTTATTTATTTTTTATTATTTTTTTATTCTCTCTTCAACTTGATTTTTATTTTTGTTTTCTTCATTATCTTTCTCGTATTTATTTCAAAATTTCTTCTTCTTCTCCTTTTTTTTTTTTTTCCCCTTCTTGTTTCCTTATTTTATTATTCTTCTTTAGTAAGATCGAAGTTATTTGTAAAAATTGAACTAAGGAGAATGTGATAGTTACTTCTTTTTTTTTTTTATATAGTTTGGAAAATGTTATAAGCTCCAAATTTTTTACCAAACAAATGACTAAATGTCTCACATGGGGTGGAATCTACAAAATTGCGGACCCCACACCATTGTAAGACATTTAGTCATGTATTTGGTAGAAAATTTGGTATTCTTAACATTACCCTCATAGTTTTGTTTGATATCCCAATGATAGTTATTTACGTCTTTCAAAAATGATAATATTTGCAAACTTTACATAAATGTTATTCCAATGACTTCACAAAGTAAGACAGCTATATTGTAAATTTTAATTACAAAATTATGAGATTGATATTCTTAAACATCTCCAATTTTAAAAGTTGTCAACAACTTTTAATGTGTGCCAAATGTTAGTGAAAACATGATATATGATAATTTTATAGTAAGTTATCTAGTCATATATCCTATTGATTATATATTTTTGAATAAATATATGTGATGATATAGTTTTGTGATATTTTTTGCATTGTATTAATAGAAATTGATAGTAATTTTTTTTCCGCCTATTCTACTGGGGTATAGTTCTCCCAAAAATAAAACAAAATAACTGAGTGGCCTTGTTTGGTTTGCTTTTGAGAGAATAGTTTTGGGAAATTTTTTTCAAAATTTTGTTTGGTTTAGTAATTTTGAAAAAAAATTCAAAATTATTCTCACTCCTACACATCAACCAATCACTTTTTCTCTCTCATCTTCTTATTCTCAATCACTTTTTTTCTCACACACATTTACTCAATTATAATAAAATATCAAATCATCCCAAACTCTCATACTCCAAAACTATTTTCAAAATATATAACCAAACAAATTAAAAAAAATTCTAAACTCTTTTCCCAAAAAATTTTTTAAAAATTTATTTTTCAAAACCAAACCAAATGTGCGTATGTTTGGTTTGAATTTGTAAAGTGATTGATTTTGGGAAATTTTTTCTAAAAAATTTGTTTGGTTTGTAATTTTTCCAAAATAATTTTCAAAATCACTTTCTCCCTCTTACACATCAATCAATCACTTTTTCTCTCTCTTCTCTCCTTCTCTCCTTCTCAATCACTTTTTTTCTCACAAACATCTACTCAATTATAACAAAATATCAAATCACTCTAAACTCCAAAACTACTTTCAAAATCAACAATGATTCATCCCACTAATTTAGGAGCACCAATTGACCACTAATGATGTGAAAATTAAAAAAAAAAAATTAAAACCAAAATATCACATCAATAAGTGAGACCCACCAATTAGTACTCTTCTAATACTTAGGCCCCGTTTGGAGACTTACTTTTTTAGCCAAAAAGTCAAAAAGTTACATTTTTAGCTAAAAAGCAAACAACTCATACCAAAAAGTCAAAGATTCTCTTTTCTCTCTATTTTTTGCACATCTTTTCGTAATTAGTTAAAAAGTCATCCCAAACATATAAATTTTTTTTACCTACTTTTTTAACTAAATAATCAAAAAATTATTAAATTAATCTATTCCCAAACGAGACCTTAGTGGTCTTCAACATTTTTCTTTCAAAATATATAACCAAACAAACGAACCAACTTTTAAAAACTGGTCTCTCAGAACCAAACCAAAAAATCTTACCGTCTTATCCGCAGCTGGACTTGCAAACCTATGAAGTCCAAATCCGATACGTAGAATTTGCCAGATGTGTGTTTCTTCGATCTTCCTTGACTCTACCTTATCTCCTTCTCTTTCTCTCTCTTTTCTTTCTATCTCTAAAAACCACACCTACTATAAGTTAACTTGTTCACATTCTCAATTCTTTGATTCTAAGCCCTAGATGCCATTTATCTTCTGTTAGACCTCCAATCAATTCCCATGGCAGCTCTTATCTCCTACCACTTCTGTTCTTCTCTCATCAACCCTAATTTCTCCACCAATTCTCCCAAAAACGCCTCAGCCTCCTTTCGACTGCGATGTTCTTCCGAAAGTCCTCGTCGATTTCAACTCCACAAGAATCAGGTAATTCGATCAATCATATGAATCTGTGTTGAATATTGTGGTGAATTTTGATAAAAACTTGGTTGATTTGAACAGAGAGATAGGTTGTTTCCATTGAAGGAATGTGCGATTTCAGTAGCGTTGGCGATTGGATTGATAACTGGAGTACCTGCGTTGGATTGGTCTTATTATTATGCCAATGCAGCTACTCCGGCGCTTCCAGATTTGTCGGTGTTGATATCGGGGCCGCCGATTAAGGATCCAGGGGCGTTGTTGAGATATGCTTTGCCTGTTGATAATAAAGCTATAAGGGAGGTTCAAAAGCCACTTGAAGATATCACAGACAGTCTCAAGATTGCTGGGGTCAAGGCACTTGATTCTGTTGAAAGAGTGAGAAAATCCATCTATATATATATATATATATTGTGGTGATGCGTTTGGTTAGTTATTATTTGGAGAGATTAGATTAATGGTAATGGATAATTGTTTTTGTGGGTTTTAGAATTTGAGGCAGGCATCCCGGGCTCTGAAGCAGGGGAAGAGTATGATTGTTTCGGGATTGGCGGAATCAAAGAAGGAACATGGAGTTGAATTGCTGGATAAGATTGAAGCTGGCATGGGTGAGCTCCAACAAATTGTGGAGGATAGAAATCGTGATGCCGTAGCACCTAAACAGAAGGAGCTGCTTAATTATGTTGGAGGGTGAGTATACAAAACTAGTCTTGGTTCTGCTCATGCACATTTACACTCATGCCAGGCACAAACTCCTAAAGAAAATATGCAATGGGTTTTGAAGACAATAATTGTCTGTATAGTTAAGTTATGTTAGGAAGGTAAGATTTTAGGAGAATTCTTTGCAGGATGGTTTTGCAAGATTAATGTAATGTCTACCAAAAAAGGGAGGAAAACTTATGCGAAGCTGTGTTTAGTAAAAGGTTGTAAAATTTTGGAACTTATTCAATCTCATATTTGTGATGAGGCTATGTGGTCATAGGATTATTTGTTGGATTAAGGCATCTTTAACATCGTGTCCTTGCATTTTGAGGCCTAAAAATCCACAAACTTGAGTTTCAAGGTTGTGCCTAAAGGCATCTCCCAGCATGACTATTATTATGATTTCAGGTGCCTGCATAAGGGGGCAGTGGAAACATGTATTCAAACACATTTAGGGGGAAATGTTTATGGAACATTGGGTGAAGAAATTAAAATTTACACACCATCAATCCTCCATGTTGAGATACCAAGTTTAATGTCAAAGATTTCACTTCTGATTGGCATAAAATCTAATTTAACCACAGGTTGATAATTCTTATGTCATTGGAAAGGAAACTATTTGCATTGACACTTGCCAGTTAACATTGTTTGTTTAACTGAACAGTTGAAAATTTCATTTTATACTTCAGTTTGCTCATCACTGAAGTTAAATGGCATGCCTGCATAAAAATTATAATAGTAAGATATAATATAATCATATTTTTCATGCATGGCAAGAGTACTAACATGGACCTTGGTGTCTCCCATAGATGCGAGGAGTTTATCATGAACATCTGAAAGGAGCATTAACTATATAACAGGATTGGTGCTAGAAAAATGTTTTATTTGGTTGACCAAAACAAAACACTAAAACAAGAGTGTACTTTCATGGAGGTGTGCTTTATACCTGGGCGATGGATTGTTAGTGAGAATGTCTTGCCTTTTCTTAGAAATATCACTAGTTTAAAGATAGGGTTAGGAAGGACTTGATGTAGCAAATGTTCACAAAATAAACTATTCTCATATATACCTTGTCATTGACTGCAGCTGAGATCTTCCTGGGGCATTGCATTTCTGCAGTGTTGAAGAGGATATGGTGGATGGCTTCCCATACGAAGTGCCTGAAGAATACCAAAATATGCCTCTATTGAAAGGGAGGGCCACTGTGGACATGAAGGTCAAGGTTAAGGACAATCCTAACGTAGATGAGTGCGTGTTCCGCATTGTCCTGGATGGTTATAATGCTCCAGTAACTGCAGGAAATTTTATAGATTTGGTGGAAAGGCATTTTTACGATGGCATGGAAATCCAAAGAGGTGAGATAAGAATTCCACCTTTGTTTTACTACCTATGTATACCATGATTAAAATATCAATTTTAGATTTTTGGCCATGCCTCACAATGCTTGGGGATTCTATTGTGTTTGCTGTAGCTGATGGCTTTGTAGTCCAAACTGGAGATCCTGAGGGACCTGCTGAGGGTTTTATTGATCCTAGTACAGAGAAAACCCGCACAATTCCATTGGAAATAATGGTGGATGGAGAGAAAGCACCTTTCTATGGGGAGACTTTGGAAGTAGGTTCTTCAGCACTCGTTATTATCACTCTCCTGATCAATATCTCAATCTGGTTGTATGCATTCACAGATAGTTGTAACTTTATGACATAATTACAAAATACTAGATGAAACAAGAATTATTTCCTTTTTCCTCTTTTTTTTTTTTTTTTTTTTTTTTTTTTTTTTGGGTTAATTTCAAGTTTTGGTTATCTCCTCTGATACCCTGGTTGCTTGTGACTCCACAAAAAAATTGGGGGTGAAGCTGCCTACCCATGGTTTCTTTTACCTCTCTCAATTGCTTCTGTTAGCAGGAGCCTTGGGCACTGATTGTGACCTTTTATGCTTCCGAGTCTACAGCTATTTGGTGACACGTCTTTGATTTGTTCTTGTTTAATGCTTTTTCTTTTCTCCTTGTATCCTCTTCTTCTCGATCACAACTGCTTAGAATTTTATGATATGTTTCTGTTATAATTCTTCTTATGATTCAAATTTGAATTGCGTACATGATCAGGAGCTTGGTCTTTACAAGGCTCAAACAAAGCTTCCATTTAATGCATTTGGGACAATGGCCATGGCCAGAGATGTAAGAGTTCTGAATATAATAATGATTTTATGAGTCTTATTGCTAACCAGAGATATCCCTTTTCATTTACTTATAATTTATTATTGACAGGAATTTGAGGACAATTCTGCTTCAAGCCAAGTGTTTTGGCTATTGAAAGAAAGTGAACTGACTCCAAGTAATGCCAACATATTGGATGGCCGCTATGCTGTGTTTGGTTATGTGACAGAAAATGCGGATCTTTTGGCAGATGTGAAGGTTGGAGATGTGATAGAGTCAATTCAAGTAGTGTCTGGCCTTGATAATCTTGTCAATCCAAGCTACAAGATTGCTGCCTAGTGTGAAACAATTCAGCATATTTTGTTTTGAGCAATGTGAACAAATTTGTGGAAGAGAGCATTGTTTCGGTTGTTTTATTGGGATGATTCTGTATTGTTTCATTTTGATATCTAATAACAATTCTGTATTTTTAGTTTCCTGTTCATGTTCATAAACAAAAAAAAATTGAAAACATAAATAAAAGAGTATACTTTCTCTAATCATCAACTAATCATATCACTTAAATATTATTGAATTTAGAAAATGAACCTAGAAAGTGGGTGTGTAGATATATCATTTTCCTAAACAAAAATTTGTTTGATTTTGTTTTTGTTTAGTAGTTAACAGAATTTATTAAATTCTTATTTTAATAATAATAAATAAATTGCTTTCATTTGTTCTGAAAATAAATTTTCATCCTTCCTCATCAGCCACTATCCTCCCCTGCCAACCATGTCCTTTGTCATCCTCAGACAGCCATTGCCATCGGCAACCTCTGGCAACCACCTCTGGAAACTGGCACTAACCTCTCCCCTAGCTACACAGACTACTCTCTTCGGCCATCAACCACCACCATAGGCACACAACCTCCAACCAGCCACCTCCTCTCACTTTCAAAACAAAATTTCAATAAATGAATACCACATTTTTTATTTTTACTATTATGAAAAATAAACATAAACATAGACATGGTTAATATTTATGTAAACAAAAATTAGTAAATTACAAACGTTACCAAACAGCAACGAAATATGTATCTTAAAACAAAATGTATAAATAAATAAATAAAGTTCCAAAACATAAAATCATTGGCCGCACTCAGGCAGGGCTAACAAAGTGTACAGAATAAATAAAGGAAAATAATGGATCTTGTATGTTGCATATAAAAAGATGGCAGCAACTAATTTAATTGTTACCATATGACAGCATATCATAATTCACAAAGTCGACCAAATTTTCCTCCCAATAAAATATTAAAATGCATTCAAATATGGAAGAACTGGTCTGCCAATCGTAGAGTAATTAATTAAATGGACAAGAAGGAAAATAAAACAAGAAGGAAAAGCCTTACAGCAGTCCATGGTCCCAACAAAGAACAGACATTGCAGAGCTACTCTTCATCTCTAACCTTTTAGCGGTTCCGACACCTCCAAGCTCTGGAATCCCAATTACCTCTTCTTAAATTTAACCACGTCTTGGATGATATTTTTGCATCAGAAATTCCAACTTGTTGCTTGGACTTGAGACGTAGTAAACATATTTAAGGCCCTCGGTAACTACGAAAGCAGAAACAGCCCTGAGGCTGATCAACAGGGATCATCCCTCCGCCCCTCGACGTGTCTATGGCCTCCAACATTGACACTGCCTCGTCCATCTCTGGCCGCTTGTCAGGATTAGCGTCCCAGCATCGCTTCATTACATTTGCAAGAGAGCTTGGGCAACATCGAGGAATCTCTGGCCTCAGATTCTGTGATGAGATTTATTTAAAATTTCAACGATGCAAAGCCGTGGTGTCTTAAAATAACTGTAATTTTAAAAGTTCAATGTTTCATATCTTTGTAGAAGCAAAAACAAGGTCAACATATGCAATGCACATTTCAAACATTTTTCTGTACCTGGCGGACAACAGCTGATGTCACTTCTGAGAAGCTGAGGTCAGGATATGGCATGTCACAGCAGTATATCTCCCAGAGGCAGATACCAAAACTATATACATCACATTTTCTGTTATATGGGTTTCCATTAAGAACCTGCGCCATTTTCCGATTCAAGATTATTAATTAGATAAATAGTAGGGAAGAGTTGAGAGGGAACTGCATATAAACTACGCATCATTAGCTGCCCCAGGGCTTAAAGCAGAAATAATCTTCTTCACAGAAAGGCTTCCATTCCAAATTATGGTATAACTTGACATAATCCAACATTTGTTTAATAATGTGTCTTAACTTGAAGACAATTTGGTCAAAAACCACTTCCATCGACCAAATGGAGTTTGTCAAAAGTAAAGCTACTAGAGTTCTATTAAGAGCACAAAGCAATTGTCAATTGGTTTTACACCAAATTCCAATACACGCCACAGTCAATAACTACCCAACAGTAGCATGTGCTTCCTTCCAGGGCCTAATCAACAAAACCCCTCAGCACCACAAAATCAATTATTAGCTGGCACAAACAAAAGAGAGAGAGAGAGAGAGAGAGAGAGAGAGAGAGAGAGATCAATAAATGGTAAATCAAGTGCATACCTCAGGAGCCATGTAACCAAGGGTTCCAGTTTCACCAGTCATGTCATTAGGATTTGAAGCCTCAACACGAGCAACACCAAAGTCAGCTATTTTAACTGTACGTGTCTTGTCCAGAAGCATATTCTCTGTCTTCACATCTCTGTGGACAATCTTCTTGGAATGAAGATAGCTCAACCTGTAAAACATTGAGAGGAAAAAGAGTACCTTCAGTAAAGCACAAGTTGCAAATCATCTTAGGAATGTTGAACTCCACAAAACTCGTGAAAAATGAATTTGGTTTCAACAATTTGAAATACAAAATAAGATACAGATGGAGTTTGAGACTTTGACCCTCTTGCAAGATCAAGTGCTAGTTGAATGACTACTTTGAAAGCTAGTTTCCTTCTTCTGTTTTTGATAAGGAAAGATTTCAGTGCACCCCCAGGAAGATATTCAACAACAACACAACAAACATTTCTTGGCATGTCAACGTGACCAGTGTCTGTCTGTATGTTTAGCTCAGACGTACCCATTGTAGCCCCTATGAACTGAAAAAGCGATCCAGCATGAAAATGGTGAGGGCGTTTTCCAAGTGAATAAACAAAAAACATGCAAGTATTAGACCCATTTTGAAACATATATTACTGTGCCTGATGAACCTAGACACCCAAGTCAGTTTTCATAAATTTTCAATGTCCCCATGTCATTTACCTCGTGTCCTTTTAGGGATCACCTCCTTGTTGGTATTCTTGTTAGAAAGATTAAAACAAATAGATACAAGGGGATTAAGGTTTGACCTTGAAAACTAAATACCAATTGTTTATAGTCTAGGAAACACATGCTCCAGCAGTAACTTCCTACATCACTGCTCCCTCCGTCCCATTTTGTGTGCTACTTGACAATGCATGTGTTTAAACATAAATGTAAAGAAGGGATAATATAAGAAGGTAATATTAAAATTGTTTTTTTCTTTCCAAACCAAGACACATAAACAACAAGACTTCCAAAAAAAACATTAAGACAGACACAAAATGGGACAGTGGGAGTACCAAACAACTATTGTTTCAATTCTCAACATGAAGTAGAGATAAGTTCATGAATAGAGATCTTTCATGAATATCCCACATGGAATAGCAGATAAGTTCCAATAACCCTCATGCATCACCTTCTTGTAGTTTCATTCATAGTTGGATGGTAAAATCCAAAACTATGATTCTACCTTAAATTACAACCTTCAAGAAAAATTATTAGACTATACCCGCTAAGCGATAAAACCTAGATCAATCAACACCAACATCACTAACCACGAACTATATAAAAAATAAAAAATAAAACCCACCATCAAGCCTTATAATAACTAGTATTCTTAAAACTTGAGTTCTTGACAAAGTGGAAACGAGCCATGGCATACATCATTCTTCCTTTCACCTTACATTTTTTGCCAAGTTTAAAATTTTCAATGTTACGACGATTCACCAAGTCATATTGGATATAATGTTTCTTACTCCTCCGACAAACAAAATTTAGTGAAAATGTTATTGAAATATGAATTCAATAATATTGTGGTTTAGTCTATACTCTCTTGAGTCTGCTACAGCTCCAAAGAAGAATGAACAATATAAAAATAAGATAAAGAAGTTTAGATAAAAATGGTACCTTTGTTACATTAGGGTGATCGAGCTTGTGCCACACAGCAACTTCTTGCGTAAAAGCTGCTCTGAGTGACGCTATTTCTGCCTCTGTCCTGTGGCTCTCTTCCCCCCAGTCAAGAAGTTTAACTGAGCATGAAAAGAAAAATGGAACTTACTGTCAATGAAGTGTGCAGAAAAGATATTGTATTAACTTTAGATCATAGATAGAGATAGGAAAATGAAAGATGAAAAACTTTCATCAGATAGCTAGAGTAATCATCCACCAGATTAGTTATCGATAGGAATCCAATGGAAGATGAGTACAAAAAAATGAACCAGAAGCAAGGAAATGATTTTTAACTGAAGAAACATGTGAACCATTCGCCCATTCGCCTTTTTATTACCCATCATTTCAGATAGAAGCAACATGGTTTTGGTTCAATTTATCAACTTGGGTATTTACTTGGCATTGAATAGCTAGCCAGACCAAGTTGATTCGTAATCTCAAACCAGTAGCAAACTTTTTATCCACACAAAAATGTGACTGCTACATAAACAATCAACTGGGGCACATGAAAGCTCAAATAAAGAGAATCTCAACGCAACAAGATCATTATGGCTACTGCTGCAAACTGCAAACTCACTCAATCCCGTGACTCTCACAAATTGTAATGCCAAGGGTCACTTGAGACCAATCCCTGGCAATCAAAAGCAGGAATTCATCTTTTTTTTCTCTTCTTTTTTTTATATAGAAAAGAAAAATAAAACATTAACAAAAAATAAAAGACAAGCAAATCAAATTATTAGAGAATTTTTTTTTTTAAAAAAAAAAAAAGGAAAAAAATTTTTTTTTTTTAAAAAAAAAAAAAAAGGAAAAGCAAAATATGAGGAACAATGCACGGTTAGGATGCTTATTAAAAAAATAAAAATGAAGAAATATAGGAAAGCCTCGCAGAGACTTGTCTCAGCTAAAACTCCTAATTGTTAAAAACTCATACTAATAAAATTACAAAACTTGTCAACTCTATCAAACATTTCAGCAACATCCCATTCTAAATCACGAATAGAATACACATGCAGACATAAATATATGTCGACTAAAGTATAACAATGCGGTACACATTGAAAACTGCCAATCAAAGAAAACCCCAAATCGATTACCAGACAGACTAACAGAGTAATCACCAGTCAATTCGAAAGAACAATGAGAAACACACAAAATGGGTATTCACAAAATGAGTTGACAGGAGGGGGAGAGAGAGAGAGAGACCTGCGATGTCTTGGCCATCGTAGACACCGCGATGAACGGTGCCGAAGGTGCCGCGAGCGAGGACGGTCTTGATGATGAGTTTGGAGGGATCGATCTCCCAGTCTTGCCTAGTGGAGATCTGCATCTGGTGGTGGTGGTGCTGTTGTTGTTGATCTTCTTGCTGGTCTTTCTTCTTCTTCTCCATGGTCCATGCTCTGCTCAGATGCCTCTGCAACTGCTCATCCAAGCTCTTCAGATCGATCTGATCTGCCCTCACAAATCCTTCATTCCCCTCCTTCATCTCTCGATGAGATGTATTTATATACAAAAATTTATGAATGATAGATTAAAGGGGGCAACAACGACCGAGACAGAGAGAGTAACTGCCGTTGTTGGAGTTTGCATCTATTTCTTCTTCCACAGTGCGTATTTCTTTCTATCTATCCACAGAAAACAAAAATGAAAACAGTGCGTATTTCTTTCTATCTATCCACAGAAAACAAAAATGAAAATGAAAATGCAAAGGTGGGTTCTTTAGGGTGTGTGGAGTTGGGTTGGGTTGGGTTGGGTTTGCCTCTTCTTTTCCATCTCTGTGATTGTGTTGGTGTCTCTCTCCCCATCATCCATGTGTGCACATGGATCACGACGTGTGTTTGTTTCTGACCCACCTTGGTCTCCCTCGTTTATTTACGCTCACTCCACTCGATCACAACTCTCTCTTCTCTCTCTCTCTCAGGAGGGTCCGTCAGTCAGTCAGACACAGGGATGAGTGTGTAATTCTGTTTAATACCAGACGAGTCACTCTCTAACTGACTTCCCCTTTACCACATAAATCCAAATGATATTCGTATGGAAATGGGAAGGCACAACGGTGACTCTCGTGTCTTAATTTAAGGTGTATCATGAATTTATTTTTATAATTTGAATCATTATTTTATAAAATTTATTGAGTATTTTATAATTATCAAAAATCATATTAATCGGATGTCAATAACTGTATGATCGATAACTAAAAAAATAAACAATAAGTTTTTCTTTTAAGAAATAGTATAAAAAAATATACAATTCGATCATATACTTATTGATATCTGATTAATATGATTTTGGTAGGCATGAAGTACTCAACAAACCTTACAAAATGAACGGTTCAAATCATAAAAATAAACTCATGATATACCTTAAATTAAGATACAATAATCACTAATGTACCTTTAACACAACAATAACCTTATTCTTATTCGAATACAATTATGATAGAAAACCTCACAAATACCTGACCTCCACAACTTTGACTCTCATTGCAATCACTAATAATATGGAATCCACGTACACATAAATAAACCCTACACACACATTCATGACCAAGATCAAATTAAGGATTATGAAACCCTCAAAAAAAAAAAGAATCCCAAACATTTTTTATTCCAATAATTTTCTTTTTCACACAAGAATCTAATGTACTGTAATTTTTTTTGAATAAAATGAAAAATATATTTTAATCAAAAAATTATTATAAGATTATTGCATCATTTTCTCTATTTTTATACACATATTTTCATAAAAAATTAAAAAAATATTAAAATAATCAATTACTGAACTCTTAAATACCTCTAAAGCATTATTTTTAAATTTATTTTCAATAAACTACCTTTGATATTATCAAAGTTAATCAATTAAAATCTAATCTCCTGATAAATCTTTATAAATAAATTATATTGACCATAAAATATATAAGTTCTACAATTTAAATATAATTACGTTAAATTCCCTTAAAATTTTAACTCACGTAACATTTTGTTTCATTTTTATTAATAATTCCTTAATTACATAGATAAAAAAATAATATTGTTATTTCTTTTATATCAAAATTTACATATTTACTTAATTATTCTTGTATTTTCACACCACATTAATTCTAATCTCTTTAACTTTAATGAAAAAAATTAGCATAATTATATCAAAAATTTAAAATTATTTGCATTTTCTCTAAAACACAAAAAAGATTAATGTAATTTATCCAATAAATTTATAAGTGATTGTTGGTGCTAAAAATTAGATTTCTCCGTCGACAGAGGTACTAACAAGTTACAAGGGATGACATGACACAGTGCTAGTACTCAAAGATGGATTTCTTCGTCGACAGAGGTGTTAACAAGGCATAAGGGATGACGTGGCGCATGTGGCATGGAAAAAGCGTATAAGTGCTAGCTGATGTGGCACAAACAAGTGCCAGGATAAAAGATAAAGAAAGATAAAGAGGAAACGTATCTTAAAGAGTTCAAATTCAAAAAACCACTCCGAGAGTAAAGAGATAAGCATGCAGAGAATCAGAGAATCTAGAAGGATCAAGATCAAGAACTTGATCAAAGCAGCAAGTATAAAAGAAGGCTGAAGGCAAAGAAAAAAGATATATCTTAATCATCAAACACTCGCAAAGAGTTTATCTAGAAGTAGTTTAACGTAATATTTTTAGGAGTAGAATAGTGATATCTTTCTCCAAATCCCCTTCCCTCCCCCCCCCACTTCTCTTCTTTTCTTCTGTCGATTGCTGTATTTCTTTAATCTTTTGTTCTTACTTAAGTTCTTATAACTAGTGATAAGTAACAATTCATTCGAATTAATACATATTTTATATTGTTCTATTTTCTTCTTCATTCAATCACCTCTAGGAAAGTCCTTAATCGGTTTAAGACAAAAAAACTCAACTACAGAGCTTGATTTTTATTGAAATCTATCGATCAATCACTATCAATTGAGCTTGACCTGAATTTTTATCAACAGTAAACTATTAAAATTCTTTAGCATTAAACTGACATAAGATTCTACAAGATCACCCGAATGAATTAAATTGGTAATTGAGTGGACTTTCATGTTGATTTAACCCCATGACATAACCATAAATTAATATCAAACTCATCACAAATAACAAAAATTGACACATTACAAAAGGTACTTTAGATTTTGGTTGGTAGAAGCCTTTACTATCACCCCAAATATATAATAGATATATTGGAGAGTTACTATATATGTCTTCAGAATATTTTATTAATTTTTTTTACTTTTTTTTTCTAATTTTTAAATATGATAAATTAGGGATAAAATATAGTGGTAAAATATACCCGATTATTATATAACCAAGAATATATGGATAGGATAGCCTAAAAGGCAAAAGCTAACTCTCAGCACCAAGACAGTATCTAGGAAAGTTAATACATAATAATTACTCATTATTTAAGTTGTTTATTTGCATGGACTTTTGGTTTATAATATGCTTAATCATAGTGGCGGAGTCAAAAAAATTAATTTAGAGTAGGTACTTACTAATTATAATAATTTTTATAAACATATTTCACATAAATTTTTTACGATTGATTTCAGGAAACATCAAAAAAAAATTATTTGTAACTAATGTATTATGGATAATACAAAAAAATATAGATATAAGCCATAAAATAAATTATATAATGATAAATTATTTTTTGATACAAAATTTGATTAAAAATTCTATATAATGGTAATACCACGTCATCATTGGTATGTAACATCACCCACTAATAGTAAATAAGCGCATAAAGAGTGAACCTCACATATCAAATGTAACTAACAATCTAATAAATTTCATATCTTTATAGTGAGATTACTTATACTCGCATATCACTAATAATGACATCGTCGTTACATTCAAAAATTTTCATAGCTAATATGGTTTATTTATAATAGTCTCTTCATTTTCAATCAAAACAACCGTTATTGTTTTCATAATTTTTAAAATGTCATTTACATTTCACTTTAATAATATTTTTATAATTTTATTTTAAATTTTCTTTTATATTTGTAAAAAAAAAAAAAAAAAAAAACAAACAAACAAACAAACCAGGGGAGACACCTGACGCCTGTCACATGCTCCCTCCGCCACTGCTTAACCATTTTGGTCAACCATGATCACATTGAACAGCCAATCATAAAACGATACATCATCTCCCAGCCAATGAGATGCGTCCAGCTTGGCTCATTTGGACGCTTGCAAACCTCTTAATTTTTTTAATTCACCTAATAATACATTTGACATAATAAAATTAATTGTAGATGGTATGATTTCGTGACATCCAATCAACTTTGTTTGTTTTATTATAATATCCGACAATGCTACGTAGTTCAAATTTTGTGGCTCAAATGACTAAAACGACGTCGTTTTGAGTACAGAACAACATAAAAATGACCAAAACGACGTCGTTTTGGCTATTTAAATCACTTTTGAGCCACAAAATTTGAGTTACGAGACATTTTTTTATAATATCTCATGTTGTTAGGGTATGAACTCTCTAGAAGAACAATAATTGAAAAGAAAAATTAAATTAAACTCATTTTGGATGCCAATAAATTTTAGCGTAAATGATAATGTAATTTCAAAAACTCATTATTTCATTATTTGGAACGAATTGAAATAGGATAGTACTAATTCATGATCAACTATTCAAACCAAAATCACTTTTTCAAATTAAGATAGATTCTAATTCTCACTTTTTTCAAGATAATCTAATTTCGCCAATGTTAAGAGTAGGTATTTAAAACACAGAATAAGTCATATTTAATTAGGTTTCATCCCAACCCTTTAATACTTTTTGTGTGAATTATTTTGTGATCCTAACAGTGCTCACTTACTATTCCAACTCAACCTAGAAAAAAGGAAAATTTGAGCTCTAATAAATTTCCTATTGATCCTTTTTCGCTAAATAAGGTTCTTAAAATATTCAAATACTTTAATGGAATTACTTCAAGAACTAAATTTCTAGTAACGGGAATCTCATTTCCCATCACAATTCCAGGCTTCCAAACATAGTCTTTAAACAAGGAAGGGCAAGAGTTCACGATTAGAGTAAATGTTTGCTCTTTGATTGCATTGAAGAATAATACTATATACATTAATTGGTATATCAGTTAATATACTAATGAATGATATGATATAATTTTTAAGGTTTTAAATCTTTTTAATTTGTATAATGGATGAGATCATAATTTTAAAATGACAATATTTTAACTATGTTGATATATTAATTAGTATATCAATTGATACGTTTTAAGATATAAAATAAAGGATTCTAATTGTTTTTGCGATAATTGGGAGTTTCAATTATACATGATTGCACTCACACTACAATACAAAAAAGAAAAATTTTAACATGTACACTCAAAGAAGTGTATCATATGCATCTCTAATTATGTTATTTTTTTTATTTAGTTATAATCAATTTTTTTCTTTAATTATGATACTATTTTAGTTATGATTCACGAATTTTTTAGTTATACCTCATGTTGTATCTGGTTATCAAATTTTTTTATTTTTTTAATTATGACTTAAAAAATATGAAATTATATATATAATTTTTTTTAATTAAAAGATGTATATGATATACACGCTATAAAGGGTGTGTATGATAATGTTTTCCAAAAAGGGAAAAAAAACAAGAAAATAAAAACATACATACACGTAGACATGTGATGGGAATATTAATAATAGAACAAAGGCATTATGGTCTGATACAGGGAAGGCTGGATTTAGCCATACTTTGAGCTAAGCAAATGCAATGCAACTAGTACTAACATTGAGAGAGAGATTTATGATTTAGATTGGACCGTGGTAATGGCTAGGTAGATTTGGGCCGAACACAGTTGGGCCGTGGTAGCATGGGTCTGCCCAGAAAGGTTTTGCTCAGTTAAGGCAAGGCATGGTTGAACCGACCTACTTGGCTTCAGGG